GCTTCTCTTCGGGGGACCAGAGTGGTCTTTTGGCCCCAGCTTCTTCTGTTCTCGGTCCCAAAGCCCTCTGACCCCAGTCCTCAGACTGGAAGGGGCCTCACCAGCCAGGAAGCCCCCCAAGTCTCCCGAGATAGTGTGCTCCTTGTTTCTCACGGTCCAGTCAGTCAGAGCCCAGGAAATGACTCTGGTGCCACTAGAAGGCTGATTAACAAGTGGCAGGAACCCTCGTGGTCAGATGAAAGGGGCTGAGGGGAGCCGCGCTGATGCACCGCCGCCTCCGAAGCCTGTGCCTTCGGTGGCTTCTAGAAGTAATGTGTAGCTCTGCCCTCCCGGGCAGTGCTGGGTGTCCTTCCTGCCAGCTGGTCCTCTGAGCAGGGCAGGTGGGCAGAGGAACCTCAGGGAGGCCCCCTCCTGGCTAGGAACAAGGACAGGGGTGAAAGAACTTGAGGCCCACGGTTCTAGTGGTCATTTTAAGCCAGGGTTCAGTCCTGGAAGGGAGGAACGCTTTCGCCCCGTCAGCAGATCTGGATTATAAATCAGTCCGGACAGCTGCTTTTGTTCTGGGCTAAAACTTGGCATCTGAAAAGTGGAGACCAGAGAGCAGTGGAGATAATTGAGAAAAGCAGCCCAGTTTGGTTTCAGTAACAATTGGGTCTTTGCTGGTACACATAAAGGCCCCTTCTCCTTCACTGACCAAGGTCACATTTCCCAGCTCCTTTCCATTAGGAAAAAAAAAAAAAAAAAAAAGCCGTGGCCTTGGAGATGTTGGAGATAGGGGACAAGCAGTGACCATTACCATGTGGTGGGCACGGAAATCTCCTTGCTTGGGCTGACAGACAGGGAAAGGATGTGTGACCCCCCATTCCGGATCAGATGGCATCCATGTAAGTGGGGTAAATGTCTTTCATGTGCAAATGCACCTCTCATTTGTTCTGTGCTACAGACACACATGCGCGCGCGCGTTAGATGTATCTACCCATACGGAGACACAGACAGCACCTCCAACAGGGTCTCGACGCTGTGATCCACCCCAGCCTCAGCCAGCCCTAGATGGTTGTAGACACATCCTAGTGTACCGGGGGTCCCTGGATGCAAACCCAGAACCTTCCCAAGTGGGCCAGCCTTGCAGAGCGCTGCGTTTCACCACTGTGCCGCTGGTCCCCGTGTAGTGCTCGAGACTTCGCAAACCCTTCACATCCATTTTCACATTCTAGCCTCAATCACCACCTTTTGGAAAATATTGCTTCTCCCCTTTTATAGATAAGGTGAGCCTCAGATAGGTTCAGCAACTGGCCCGTGGTCTCACAGATAACAAGCCAGGTGGGAATTATATATCAGGTCTTGGGATTCCCAATGCTGTCTTTCCAGTAAGTCACCATCTATCCTGAACACACTCCAGTTCCTGCTGCCTTGTTTCACCTTCAGGCCTCACGCCCAGCCTCTTAGGTGTGTGGGTTACCAGAGACCTGAGCTCCCCGGCTTTATCTCCAAGGTAGCCCCAGTGGAAAGTTTCAAAAAGCGGTTTGGTTTCACTGGCAGGGGCAGTCTTCTGTACCTCTGTGGCAGATATTTGGGTTCCCTGAAGCCAAGGATGGAGGCAGAAAGAAGGGCCCTCCAGCTAACCGACCCTAAGAGCCCTTCCCTTCCAAATGTTCCCCGAAGACAAAGGTCCAGCCTCCCCACCCCACCCCACCTTCTACCTTGGTGCATTTCCTGCTGTTTTTGCCCATTCCCAGCATTGGTCTAATCCGTGGGTGGGTGGGCGGAGGATAAAGTTTCCTGTGTGGTACTTGCTCATGAGTCACTTTTTTTTTTTTTTTTGGAGAGTTTTCGCTATAGGGCGTGTGTGCTTGCCAGACAGAGAGAGACATAGAGACAGAAAGTGAGAAATCACCCCCCAGGGGGGATGTTCACGCCGCAATCCCTTCTCCTCCATTCTCCTCTCAGGATCTTGGGCACACACGCACACGCACCCGGCGTGAGTTTTAAGCCACCGGGTCCAGGACGCGAACCCCGGTCGACTACATGGGAGTCCAGCAACATAGCCATTACGCTAACTGCTGGTCCCAATGAGTCACTATTTTTTTTATTTTGCTAGAGGGCACATGCACTCACCAGGGAGAGAGAGAGAGAAAGAGAAAATGACAAGTCCTTTCTCCTCTATTCTCTTCCCAGGATTTTGGGCACACATGCACACACGCCCAACGTGTTTTCCTGATCCCCGATCCCTGGGTCTGGGACTCAAACCACGCAGTCAGCCATATGGGATCCACCTGCCCTGACCGCCATGCCACTTGCTGGCCTGATTTATACTTTTTTAAATAATATTTTTAAAGAATTATTTTATTTAACTTTATCTATTTTAATTTGACCAGAGAGAGACAGAGAGAGAGAAAGTGAGAAAGCAAGCCACCAGGTCTGGGACTCGAACCGTGGTCGGCCATGTGGGAGTCTAGCACCCTTAACCACCATGCCACCTGCTAGCCCCATGAGTTATACTTTTTAATATAAGCACAGTTCATGGGAAAATGAGGATTCTTGGGCCTTAAATTAAAAAAAAATTACTAATACCAGAAAAAAAGGGGGGGGAGGAGTCTGGATGGTGACACAAGAATAAAGCATGACATTTCTGCAAGATTAATCCACATGGGAAAGTTCTGGGCTCAAGACCCTGCTGAGGGCACTGTCTTTGTCTCCATCTTTCTGATAGAAAAAATAAAATAAAAAGGATTTGTTTACTTATCTTCCTGGAGCCTGCTTGGTCTAGCCAATGAATGGAAACCACCAGGCAGACCTGGGCCTTGAGGGAGCCTCTACTCACCCTATTTGCTCAATTGCTTGTGGCCAAGTGAAGGAAGGCCAGACCAGATGTGCTAGATGCCCCCCAAAGCTCTCCAAGGACCCACTGGCAGCTCAGGCCAGCAGGACAGGGAGCCTCACCTGAGAAGCGAGGCCCTTGCCTCTCTTGCCTTGGTCCTGGGCCCTGGGGTCCTACACTGGAGCTACCCTGCGGCCAGCTCTTCCAAGGCCATTTTCTGGCAGGAGGGAGGACTAGGTGCACACTGGGTTCTCCAGTCAGTGCCGCCTGGTTATTTCCAAGGCAGCCAGGAAGTGAGATGGGGATGGGGAAGTGAGAAAGTATGGGTCCACCACCCCTCAGGGATGTCTCCAAGGGCCTAGGGACCGAGGCCAGTGGGGACATAGGAAAGGGACTTCCTCTTTTGGCTTCCTCCAAAAGGAGAGTTATCGAAGCCATCCACCTGGGAAGCCTTTCCCTTCCCAGCCCCTCCCTGCCTCCACCACCAAAAGGAAGCAGGAAAACATCCGTCACCACAGCCCCGGATGCTGCGTTTCCAGTGGCCGCAATCAGGATATCCCCCAGCCTTGTCCCAGTGGCTCAGGACCCGGAAAGGTCAAAGACCTGGAGGGCAAGCACTAAAACTGCCAGCACCACTGTGGAAGTCTTGGCCTGGGGGAGGCTGAGTCTCTGGCTGATCCCAGACTAGTTATAGAAGAGCTGGTCAGCTCCCGGCCAGTTCCAGAGAGGCCCATTACCTATCCCAGGGGACAGTGGCCGCCCTCGGGTGACCTCACAGCACACACCTCTGCTCAGGTTACAGCCAGGTCTCTGAGGGAGCGCGCTGTCACCAACACCTCCTCTTCCTTGGTGTCTGTGTCTCTCTCGGGGATGAGAGGGTATGTGTGAGGGGCAGGGAGGGAGGGGAACGGTGTACAGCGCTGGGCCCAGGAGAAGGGTTCCAGATCCACACTGATGGGCGGCATGGTCCCTTCCATGGAGCCAGGTAGGGGCAGCCTGGAGAGCTGGGAACTCCCCGGTTCAGCCTCTCAGGCTTCCCTACTCCATCTCTGCCCTTGGCAATAAGAACAAAGAAGGGAAATTTCAAAGGTGATTTCCAGGTTCCCAGAGCAAAGTGAATAGCGTGGATGAACTGTGAGGATGTGTCATGTCAGGAGCAGGGGCAGCCCTGAGGGAGACTGGCTCATGGATTCCCTTCTGTTAGTTCTATTATCGGAGGATCTCGGGCAGACCCAGTGCTGCCAGGCCTGGGTGCCGTCCTGGCCAAGGGGCCACGCAGTGTAGCCAGGAACGGAAACTGGAGCTCGTGTCCAGTCGCCTGGGCGTCCAAGTCACCCTGGCCAAGGGTTTCTTCCACCTCTTCCTTGGCAAAGGCCAAGAGGCAGAAAGGCGTCCTGTATGGCACCCAGCACTGTACCTGGTTGGTGCCCGGTCCCGCTGAATAATAGATGCCCCCAGCTCCCTGCATTCTGGGGGACCGGCGAGGGAGGCAGCCATGTCTCAAAGAGGCCCAGGAAGTGATGGGCTCCACTTTGGGTCTGCACATTGAGTCAGTTGGCCTGAAGGCCCCTCACCTGGGGGAGTCTCTCTCCTAGTTAGCCACCCTTACCCTGACCCCTGTGCAGGGAGACAGGCACTCGAACGGAGGATGCTGTATGTGGCGGCCGTGCTGAAGCTCCATGGGTGGGCGCTGGGAGCTCACAGGCTCTGCCACTTCCTTTTTTTAGGTTTTTGCTATAGGGCACATTTGCTCGCCAGCTCCTCCATTCTCCTCTCGGGATCTTGGGCACACACGCACATGCGCCCAGCGTGAGTTTTAAGCCACCGGGTCCGGGACTCGAACTGCGGTCGACTACGTGGGAGTCCAGAGACATAACCATTACACTAACTGCTAGCCCCATGGCTCTGCCACTTCCTATCTCTTGTGACCCTTACGAAGCCCACCCCAACCTAGACAGTAAGGAAGGACCATGGAACTGGCAGGTGGTGTGGTGGTTAAGGGTGCTGGACTCTCACATAGCCAACCACGGTTTGAGTCCTGGACCTGGTGGCTTTCTTTGTTACGTCC